AAAAAAAAAAAAAAAAAAAAAAAAAAGAGACTGTAAAGTTGGAAAACATGAAACTGTTCATTGAGTTCAAAGCAGTTTGGTTAAATATCGGCAGTCATGAATCCAAGGAGCTAATCACACTGACTACTGAAACAATTGAAGCAATGTTCATTTGCCAGAGCAGTAAGCACATTCTAGCGGCAAACCATTTAAATGTGGAGTTCGTCGTCTTGACAACTGACAAATATTTACTTATGGATCACAATCATATTATAATTCACTTTTTTTAAAAAAAATGGAGTTGGTCAGATTGTTATCTGAATGCCTCATATTTTCTCCATAGGCGCTTACTTCATGAACGTATAAACTCCAGAGGCTAATCTCGAGCCAATCTGCATTATCGAGTGGAATGGACAACCTGAAATAAAGAATAACCTTTTGAGTTAACACCTTGCACTAAGCTGTTAAAAGTTCATGATCTTTGATCAGTTTATATTTTATACTTTTAGGATTATACAAGTCCTGCATTATCGTGGTAATAGAAGGATATTATAATTTATTAAATTAATTATTAATTTCGAATGCCTATATCAAAACAGTAAAAAAAGTATTGTAAAAAACATCAGAAGACTAATTCAAGTTCTACTACCTCAGACGGTATAGTCACAGACCAAAAAAAGGATTAATTGAATTGGTGAAGATAAACTGCGCTTAAATAAAAAGAGATAAATACCATTTTTTAACGGTCTCGACTATCTGAAGAAGTGAAAATTAATTTTCCTTGTCGATTAATCATTTGTCAATTATTAATTGCTTCCGGAAATGAGGGAAGGTGGGACTCTTTGGTTTACTTCCGGACAGGTGAAAGACTAACAAGGCCTCGCCTGATTTTCATCTACCCAATTTCTAACACGAAAGTGTTAATAGCCCGGAGACGCACGCAGCCGCCTGTACCACAATCATGTTGTCCTTAACAATCACAGCGGAAATGCGAGCCGTCGAGGCCTGTCGTTAGGCGAAATATGACAACCATTTTAACACTACGCTCGTTAGAAACGTGCGTATGGTTGGTAGAAAATATGCCACAGGTAATAATGTAATGAGATGTTATTTAGAAGTTACATTTGCGAAGGTATGTTGAGTGCTTTTCTCTTAAATTATGGAAATAAACTGATTACAAGGAGAAAGATGGAATAAATCCTTTTTTGACATTAAAGTGACACTTATATACTTCTTAAAAAAAATAGTTACTATTGTTACATCATACGCCACTTTTATTCATGTTTATACAATAAAAGAAAGTGGCAACGAAATCTTGCCCTTTCGCTTTCCTCATTACTTCCATTCTATTCACTGACAAACATAAATTTCTTTGTTTTAAAAATGTGTAAAATGATCAGAAACATGTTCACACCGAAACGTGCAACATGGATTTTCAACCGTCGCCATCCGGTTAGCGCCGTAAATTGAGTGCTTGCCCCGAAGGACAGTTTACCTAGACACGCCTCCGAAGCAGCGCTCGCGATTTCCTCTGTCTCCCCCTCACCCCCGGCAGCGCCCACCCGCAAAAATTCATTCCTGGTAAGTGACTCCGCGCCCATTACAGCGGCAGCTGCCTCGTGCCTCGTGGCGGCGCGGGCGCTAAATTGGCGCGCCGCCGCTTGGGTGCGCCACCGTCCGGCGCGGCGCGCGCGGCCGCCGCCACCG